CCAATCTAGTTGACGTAAAAGGCCTCCCTCGACGTTCTAGTGTTCTTAAGACCCCCCTCTTTCATGCCCTGTCCCGGGAAGACGTTGACCACAACGATTTTGCCTTTGACCGCAACGATTTTGGGACCAAAGTTGGTCAAAAAGTGGTCGAGTCTCGGAAATTTGCTGATTTGCTGACTTTGGGCGGCCACTGTGTCCAATCTAGTTGCCGCAAAAGGCTTCCCTTGACGTTCTAGTATTCTTAAGACCCCACTCTTTCATGCCCTGTATCGTGAAGACGTTGACCACAACAATTTTGCCTTTGACCGCAACGATTTTGGGACCAAAGTTGGTCAAAAAGTGGTCGAGTCTCGGAAATTTGCTGATTTTGCTGACTTTGGGCGGCCACTGTGTCCAATCTAGTTGACGTAAAAGGCCTCCCTCGACGTTCTAGTGTTCTTAAGACCCCCCTCTTTCATGCCCTGTCCCGGGAAGACGTTGACCACAACGATTTTGCCTTTGACCGCAACGATTTTGGGACCAAAGTTGGCCAAAAAATGCGCTTGATTTGCCGAAATCATGCGTAAAATCGGCAGAAATTTCGTGGAATACCAACAAAATCTCGCGGAACCCGGCATAATTTTGACGCAAAATTCTGCGAAATCTTGAGAAATTTTCAAATGGGTACCCCTTTCATTTAAGTACGTAAATTGTTAAAGACCGCGACTTTGCCGCGGCCAAGAAGGCCCCGCGGTGGAAAGGCCCCGTGGCCCGCGGCCGAAAGGCCCCGCGCTTCGCGCGAGGCCCCGGGCGCGATCGCGCCCCCGCGGCCCGGGCCAGTCCGGGCCTGCTCGCAGCGTCCGAAAGGGAAGTGCGAGAGAGACAGAGCGACCAACCACTGCCCTGAGCGTTCCGTGGGCGTGTGTTGATCCCAGCCCTGGAGTGGCTGGAGCACTGTATAGAATGATTAAGCAAAACGCAGGGGCCGCTTTCAACTACTTTCAACTGGAGGCAGCGCGGGCCAGTGACGTATACAGTGTACAGTACGTTAGCCAGACCGCGGCGGCAACACCACGCTTTGCACAAAGTTTGTTTCCCCGGCCACTCTCACATCACGCTTTTGGGCTTGCGTGACGCGCCACCACGCCCTCGCCCGTCAGCGCGGTGACAAGGGCACGAGGGGGGAGGGGAGGGGGGAGGGGGAGGGGGAGGGGGGGGGGGGGGGAGGGGGGAGGGGGGAGGGAGGGGAGGGGGGAGGGGGAGGGGGAGGGGGGCCGCGCCCTCGGGGCTGACTGGCTGCCTGACTGACACTGGCCCAACCCCGCGGCCGGGGAGGCCGGGGGCACCGCGCCGATGCAGCACCCACAGCGCAGACACGGACCCCGCGCCATCGGCGTGCTCCGCCACTGCTTCGCCTCCTCCCGGCCGCGCTTCGCTACACAGTGGGCCAGAAGACCGGTGGAGGCGGCCAAAATTCTCGACGCGTTTTGAGCTCCAGAGTCGCTAAGTGGGACTCGAACCAAACGTGTGACCCCACCAATGGATTCCTCGTTTGGTGAGCAATCCATTGGTGAGGTCACGTGTTCGGTTCGAGTCCCATTTAGCGACTCTCCAGCTGAAAACGCGTTAAGAGTTTCCACCGGTCTTCTGGCCCACTGTGCGCCTCGCCCTTTGCGCCGCAACCCGGCAACGGTGGACCCCGGCAGGGCCTCCAGGGCGGGGCGGGGCGGCGCGCAACCCCCTCCAGCTCCGGGCGCGGCGCTCCGCTGCTCCAGTCCCGGAAGGGGGCCGAGGGGGCGGTCGCTTTCCGGGTGAAGGGGGTGGCTGGCGCTGGGCTGGCGCCAGGGAAGGTCAGGGCCGCCAGGCCGCCCGCGCCGGCCGCCCGAGCTGGCAGCCTGGACCAGGCACGGCGGGCAGGGCGGACAAGGCGGCCCTTGGCACATCCGCACCGCCGCCGCGTCGTCGCCAAGGTGCAAATGCCGACCGGGGCGGCGCGCGCCCTTTCGCTGGCCGAAGGGCTGCCCAAGGGTCAACGCCGACCCGAAGGGCCCACAGGGCCCAAAGGGCGGGGAAGGCCCTGCCCGGCGAATAAGGCGCGGGATGAGCGGCCGACGACGCCCCCGCAGTGCAGGCCCCTAAATGGAACGGAGGGCCCCGCGACCTTTCGCTTCCGCCCGGCGGCCTGCCGTGGGCCTGCCGACGGCCTGGGGGACCCCGAGGGGGCACCAGCAAGCCAGGCCCCGCCCCGCCCGCTTTCTTTTTGCCAGGGTATCGGTCGCATGCCGGACACTGCACCAAGACGTCGTCCGCCCCTTCCTCGCTATTTCTGTTGGCCGTCATGATGGGGAGGGGGCCGCCATCGCCGAGCCATCGCCACCATGAGGCCGCGCGGTGACTAGCAGTGCCTAGCAGTGGCGTGCCGAGGGCCCCAAGGGCCATCTGCCTGCGTCCGAGTTATGACACCCTTCCCCAGGCCACGCGGCCACGCTGCCACGCGGCCACGCCCTCTGGCCCCGCTCTTCCTCCACCCGCTGGACAGTCGAATCGACCAGCCTGCGGCGTCTCGTACTCGGTGGTACCGGTGCCGCACGGCGCCACGCCACCGCGCCCTCCGCACAGTGGGCCAGAAGACCGGCGGAGGCGGCCAGAATTCTAGGTGCGTTTTGAGTTCCAGAGGCACTAAATGGGACTCGAACCGAAAGAGTGACCCCACCACTGGATTGCTTTCAGCACGAGAAATCCATTGGTGGGGTCACACGTTCGGTTCGAGTCCCATTTAGTGACTCGGGAGCTCAAAACGCGTCCAGAGGTTTGGCCGCCTCCACCGGTCTTCTGGCCCACTGCGCGCCGCCTCCATCGACCGCGTCATCTTGCTCGTGCCGCATCGCCCGGCATCGCCGCATCCGGCGGCAGGAATAACATGCAAGGGTTCGAATCCCAGCGCCAGCGGATTGTCTGTCTGTCCGTCCGTCCGTGTCGCGAGCCGCTGGGCATTCCCTTCACGTCCGCGTCGCGTCCGGAAGCCAATCATGCTGTCGGCGCAGCGGCGCAGCAACGGACAACGACCATGTCCTTTCACTGCGTTTGTTCCTACAGTGGAACTTGAACCCTCGGCGCCAACGGACAGCCCTTCGAACGAGGCGTTTCCTTTTCCGCAGCGTTGCAGAAAGGGCGCTTGGACGCGTGCCCAGAGCCGAGCCCACAGAGGGTGTGGGGTCCTCTCTCCGTCTCTCTCGCACCCCCGGCAGCCTCCACGAGTGCGAGAGAGACGGAGCGAGGAGTGCAGGCGGCGGAATCGCTCCACAGCACAAGAATGCGGCTGCGGAGCGCGAGAGAGGGTGCGCGTCGAGCCGCCGAGCCGCCCCGCCGCCGCGCCGCTCCCTGGGAAGGCCAACCGCGGCCCCGAGCTGCCCCGAGCACCGTGTACCTGTCGCAGTGCCGGCCAGGCCAGCCAGGCCAGACCGCCCGGGGCTGCGGACTGGACTGCGGACCAGACGGCCTGGCAGACGGTCCAGCCACCGGGAAGCACCCGCCAAGGCACCCGCCCCCCGGACGGCGGCCAGCTTTCGTAACAGCATCGACACGCGCACGCACTCACACACACGCACGGCGCCCCGCCCCGCCCCGCCACGCTCGTAAACGATCACGCACACACGCAGCCGTAACGCCACTGCAGCGCTGCTCCGTTTCACTTGTTTTCCGTTCATTGTTCGAGGCGATCGAGTCAAACTCAGCCGTCAGAACGCCTGCGGCCCCGCCCCGCCCCGCCCCGCCCCGGGCCGCTGGAACAAACGGCGCATCATCATAGCAGGCCGATTCCGAACAGTCGCTTCCTTTCCTCTCGCTCGCACTCAAGAGGCGTGGCGCGGAGGCGCGAGAGAGACAGCGCGACGAAGCTCTGTCCGGAATCGGCGTGCTGTCACTGCGCAACTTCCCTTGCCAGGGCGCAGGGCCACTGTCAGAACGGTGCGGACTAGACGGCCTGAGCGTGGAATAGCCAGAAGAGGACGTGCAGTTTGGCTAAACAAACCCACGTTGCACGGGGCCCCGGCCTCGCACTCCCAGTGCCTTCTCGCGCCTCTTTGGGAAAAAAAGAAGCCGTTCTCGCGAGGCTGTTGCTATCTCTGTCTTCCAGACCGCCGGCCGGGCACAGTAGAAATACCAGGCAGGATCTTTCCCACGCGAAGACGAAGTGAGGCGAAACAAGACGGGGCACTTCATAAACCTAACCGGCTGTGAGCGCCGCGCGCCGCCCAAGGTAATGGGTGCACATCAGTGAGTGTGGCACCATGGTGGCACAGGCAGCGGAAAAGTCACAAGGACATCGGGCTGGAGTTCAAGGCAACAAAAGGGACTATGGAAGTCTGACAAAAGAAAAAAAAAGAAGATGATTCAGGCATTTTGCCTTAATGCCAAAGGGGTCAATCAAACTAAAACATTTCTGGTCTGCTCAGGGTGCAACACCTGTCATTGCATTCCCCGAGACAGGACACCTTGTCCTCCGGCAGGTGCACAAAGCACAGAAACACCAGAAATTGATGGACTCAGAGTTTTTGACCTTGCCCCCTAAAGTTGAAAATAATAGGATAAATTTTAAGCCCCTACTTATTAAAAAATTTAAGAACATGTCCGAAATACCAAGAAAGCAAAGCAACTTTCTGTGGAACTACGTAATAACTCAGAAATTATTTTTTTCTCATTCATAGCAGTTAATTGACTGCACAGTACAATAATAAAGTCTTCGAATGGAATGAAATGAAAGACTTATAGGAAAATTTAAACTATATAGGCCCTGCAACTAGGAAGATAATTTAAAAATTTATAACAAAGAGATGGTTGTGTGTGTGAGCAGATGCGACCAATTTTAAACGCCAATAAAAATTGTTAAAACGGAGAAATGATTAAACCAAAACTTAAATCACTGAACTTCTCTTTCGAAAGCTGTAGACCGCTTTCAAAACAATACACAGAAGTTGGGTTAGTGGTGCATCCCTAGCTTAACATAACGTCAGGATATTTACCTTGAATGAACCTCCTCGGCCGCGAACGGGCAAACGGTCTTCGAGAAATGTAGATCGTCGAACGGCACAGATGGTAAAACGACAACCTTCAATTCAAAAGCCACCCAAGGCAGTGAAAAAAACTGGATGAAAAACGTGCCAACAGGAGCAGGACCCAGCACAACACTGATTTCAACAGTCCTTCCGGAAAGCCAGAACTCAAAGGGATCAACACAAAGTGACTCAGAAGTGAGTCGGAAAGGGACACAGATAATTTCATTGATTGCGACGGGATCGCTTCTATTCAATCCGAGCAAACGCGAGAAGAAAATTACCAAATTTAAACACCGCTAGAGCAGCACTGTCCTAGTCGCCTGACAGACTGGCAGCTGGAGGTGTCGGCGGCGCGGCGCAGCCGGAGTGCGCATAATAGAGAAGGGTGGGGGTGGGGGTGGGGCGGCTGCCTCGAGCTCCCATTGGTCGACCGCAGGGGCTTTAGCAATCCCGTCATGTGGTTGGTCGCACCGTCGCGCTCCACTGCGCATGGAGTAGTGACGAGAAGGGTCGGTTAATTTTGAAATGAACAATCAGAGAGACAATTGGTAGATTTTATTTTTCCCTTAACAAACAATTAAAACGAAATGAAATACACTGAAAACAAAAACAATGGAGGAAGGAAACTAGCAACCATACTGTACAAAGTTATTTTGAAAAAATATTGTCACTAACAAAGTTTCATTTTTCTTGGAAGAATGAATGGTGTCAGTACAATTATACCATTTTCAAGTCCCATTTACACATTTCTGATGTGCATGCACATTATTGCATTATTGGGTTGACACATAGATTAGACCGTACCTTATATACAATGATGGCAGCACATGAACTTATTACACATCAAACATAAACATGAGAATATATTTACTATAACAATATAATAATAGGGGAAGCTATAAAATAGAGGGAAAGAGGTAGATTGAGATCAATAACTGCCTCAGTCACACTATTTTGTAGCATCCCCATATCACAGACAGAGACAATCTCTGATACACTAAGAGCTTTACTGTCAAGCCAAGAAATGATATTACTAAAGTAAGCAATAAAAGTTTTGGATTAACATTTGCCTGAAACCCTATAAAAGGAGTTCTACAAAATTACGTTGCTGGTTTGCTTTCAAACTTAGTGATAAAAGTTTTAACGATGATAATGGAAGAGATTCTCATTCAAAGTAAGTTCACAAGCATAAGTATTGGAACATCTGAACACTCTGATCGATGAAAGGTTTTGCTTTCTTAAGAATTCTTAAATTATTCAAAAGAAAAAAAAGAGCTGCATACAAAATCATAGGTAAAAATACCTAATACTGTAATTGAGGTAATATTGCTCCTGATTAACAATGACAATATATACAATCAGTCTTAACAGTTTCCTAGAATAAACATGAAAATTCACAAATGTACCGTAATAAGGGACTACATCAGGGCATTTGTTATCACGTTTGATACAAGCAGAAGACAAATCTTATAAGACCACACAGATTCGTTGTAACAAAACAAATCATAGTAGGTCTTTGATTGCAAAGCCCAAAATAAGTACAATTACTAACAATAATTAAAAGCCTTAATAAAATTTTTAGGGCAATACAAAGCAAAAATAGATAGGGTAGCATTGGACAATTACATTAACAGGCCCACATTTACCATTTACTCTAAAAAATTACAGGTCAAGTATTACTTTGCATGACACACCACAATCTCCCACAGAGAAACCAAAATTCTTAATTATCTAAAGAAGAATGAGCTGGTTCAAAGTCACACCGTGCTTTACAAATATCCAAGATTCCTTCCAATATGCGCCTCTGTATGGCTGATGAAAGGGGTGGCTGGCATGTTTCCATGTGTTTCCTGATACTTTCCATGCACTGCAAGATACAAACAGCACAATTTGAACAGTGATAAAAATATCTAAGAGTACCAGGAGATACAATTAGTAGAGGAGAGTATGAAAATGTACCTTTTGCAAGCAGCTTAGCACAGGGGCATCTGGACCATGAGAATACGGTGGACCTTCAAGTGAAGGCTTGCGCATGGAAGCAATGGTCCCATCCACGTGTTCCAAAAGCTCCTCCACATCCAAATCCTCAGAAACAATACTCACAGGGAAGCGGTAAGGCGTGCCTCCGGATTCGCCCTCCGGGTCCACTATCAACACCCTGGTAAAAATTAACATAAATTAATTTCTTTATGCTTTTATGTGAATAACAAAACACTCCATGAGTGTACATACCGGAAAATACTAGCAAAGGACGTGGTGTTGGCACAATAAGGGGACAGAATGAGGCCCACAAAGGGGGCTGCTTTGGTATCTGAGAACCATCTTTGCATTTCTGCTTGTGTGGAAAGATCTTGCAAGGAAGGATTTGGTACAAAAGTTGGATGAGAATGGTACCAGCCAACTACACTTAGACCATCTTTTGAAATGGTGTCACTGGCTTCACTTTGAGAGACTAAATTAGGAAAATGGAGAAAAATAAAGAGCATTAAATGTGTAGCTCGTTGTCTTACCAAAACGCATTGAGTGGAAATGAAAAGTTTGGCAGCATAATGCCACTGGAAAATGAATTACCTGGACACATGTCACAATGGGTGCTGCTACTAAGGCTGGCCTGACATGACACAGCTCGAATGATATGCAATGAGTCCTCTCTCAACTCACCACCCAGTAGACCCATTACTTCAGTGTCGTGAGAACAGTGAGAATGGGTATCGACCACAAAAAGAGCTCCAATGTGCAAATGGACAGTAAATGGGGCCTGAAAAGAGTTTGAAAGTTTAACAGCACAGGCAAAAATCTAGTCTTTCGACAGCTACAACCACATACTTGAAATAGACAAGGTGAAATATAAACAAAAGAAACTTACAGGTTTCTCATTTGAAAATTGCGAACAATAAAGAAGTTTTATAGATGTGTCTGTCTTGGAAACCTTGGGTTTTACAATGGTGTTGTAAGTTAGGAATGTTTGACCATCTTCCTTGTGCAGAATTGTATAGCCTCCCTCAGTTGATCCCAAGAGGTCCTCCTAAGAAGGAAAATCTAATTAGATGTCTGTTGTAAAATGATCTCAGAACTTCAGCATTGGTCTACGTACATCAATTTCTTGCTTCTTTTTTCTGGGACGCATTCCTTCAATGCACAATAATTCACGATTCACTTTCTCCTTGAGAACAGATATGTTGCTTGATGATCCCACATGTACTTGAGGAGGGTGATGATACTTTGTTTGCTCTGAAATTTAAATTTAAATTCAATGATTCATAAATGTATGACCTAACTTAAACAAATGTAGTGGACTATTTTTTAGAGCACCTACCGCAGCCAAAATTGATAACACCTGTTTGCTCCAAGTATGAATGAATTCTGCCAATGCAGTTGACATCTCCACAATTTCTTAAGCCCCCACGAACAGAGGTTTTTGTGACATAGTTGGGTTTACTTTGAAGCCAGGAATCAATAATATGATTGCGAATCTGGAACAAATAGAATTACAAGATAAGTAAATGCAGCCTCAATAAAGACAGTCTTTTGAAAGAAATCTTTGCACCTTTAAATATCTCTTTGGAGTTTTGGCAGGCCTTCCTTCGAAAAATTCAGAATGGATGGCCCGTTCTTCTTCTAGAATTTCATCTGGCCGCAGAGTATGTTCATGAGTGGGTGGCGGCAACCGGTGTATCTGATCAAGGATATCTTGATGTGAAATGAGGTTCTTGGACTCCTTCCCTGATGTACTGGACTCATTACTTGAAATTTTCAATGAAAATTCAGTAGATGAAAATTCAGTGGCATTTTCAGTTTTCACTTCAGCCAGTAATTCTTCAGAAGAATTAGGCAATGAGCAAGGGATATCTTCTGGCAGTTCTACAGGTTCTTGCTTCACAATAACAGTGGTTTCTTCTTCCAACGCCGTATTATTAAAAAGGGGTTTATCATCAGAACTTGTTATGGCATCATCATCATCATCTTCAATATCAATTTCAACATCAGAATCATCTGAACTGAGACTTCTAATTCTTACCTATTAAAAACATTCAATTTTTAAAAAACTGAGATTTGAATAATCAATTTCTGAACAATTAACAAAGAGAGACAACAACGTACCACTTCTTCCCCTAATCCTGGAGTTTCAGTAAGTTCTGAAATTACATTGATGTTTTTTGGATTTTCCGTGCTATGGTCAGTTGTGGTGCCACCATGCAATTTTCTAGGACGACCACGGCCCCGTTTGAGAGTTGGTTTCTGAGGAGGAATGCGAGGAGGACGCCCTCGTTTTGCTTTCGAGCTGGAAACGAAAAGAAATGAAGTTAAAATTATTTCAAAACAATACTTCATCTTTAATATGTTTTTTAGAAAGGAGATTCATTGCTGATATTTGCTTACGTCTGAGGTGGCTTGGTCTTTCTCTTTTTGAATCTGTTGCTGTTTGCTTCAGATATGCGACTTGAGTTTGTAGAACTTGAAGATATTGTGGGCTTTGCTGTACTCACAACAGCAATTACCTACAAATAAGACAAAATGGTTAATGGAGAGGCATGAAGGAGTTCTATTGGAGATACATTTTTGTTCTTCACAGTACACAGACCTCTTCCATGGAAGCCGGTATCTGCAAGTCGTCAATAAGTTCTGTGTAAGATATATTGTTTCCACTAGAAATAGTAGGGGCCTGCACATTTCCATCAACGCTCGACGATATGGAAACTGATAAAGTTTCACTCTCACTACTTGGTCGAGCAAGCTTCATGTAGCTCTTAATCTGATGAGGTGTCTTGGTTCCAATGAATTGAGACAGGCGAGACCAGCTCCGTCCAAATAATTCCTAATGAACAAAAATACAAAACAATAAAGCAATAGAGAAACAAACTTTTATTTTCATAAACAAATACCGCCCATCATCATTAATACCTACCAAGCCTTCTTCCAACAGACTGCGCTCTTTTTCTGTCCAACTTGCAGCATTTCCTGTGGAGCTAGGCCCTGCAGAAGGGTCACTCCACTGCAAATTATTGGGGGACGAGCTGAGAGGGAGCGAAAATGGTAGCGGAGAGAAAGAGTCCAATTGGCTTCTTTCATACCACGGAGGGGAACCAACGTCCAGGTACCATGATGACTGATAATCGCAATGGAGCAAATCAGATCCAACACCTCCATCATAACAAGAAGCACTGCAAACCCACAGAATGCAATATTATGTTAATAAGCTTGTGAAGAATTGTTGAAATATGCCACATCTACAACTAAAGGTTGGTAGAATGGAGGTAATAAGAAAATGTTCCTATGAATGACTATTATTGGCATCAGAGAAAAATTGTTACATATACTTCACGCATTAGATTAGGGGCATTGAATGGGCGTATGCATTTTGACACTGATGGATAAACAAATCCCAAGTAATGAGAACAGTATCAGAATCCAATAATAATACGAAACGTTCGGAAGAAAATATAGTGAGATATGGAGGAAATTTTAAAAAATCTGATAAAAACATCAAGGATATAAACGCTAGATTCGGGTGTTAGAAAACAGAAAGTGACACGAAAATAAAAATGAACACTTTCAGACACATAACCTACGCCAACTACACTTTTGACCTGCAGCACAAAAGTATCATGACAAGAAGCGTTCAGCGTTTCCTTGGAAAGCATTTGAACTGTTAGAAAACTACTCACAGTCGGTTTTCATCTTTAGTCAGAAGGTTTTCCAAATTAAAATCGCCCAAAATATCAACTTCGTCGTCGTCCGCCATGATTGTTGTGAAAGGGCCATCAAAGCATCTTTCACATTGAGACGGGATGAAAAATTGCTTTGAATGACTGAGCGTCAGTATGAGAAACGTCGGTGTCAGAAAGAATAGCGTCATCGACTGTTGTTTGGGGGATAGGGAAGGCCGGGGAAGGGCGACGCCGGGAATGCGTCCGGAACACCGTGACGTTCACCATTTGCACGGACGGCTAGACGACGGCCCTTCCGACTTGGTCCGACTTGGTCCGACTTCGGACAGCTGCAGTGCTTTACGTGCCCATAATGCACTCTCGTGTCAGCGTACACGTCCCGCGAGGCTGCTGACAACGGGCATTTTTTTGCGCATGCACGTGGTCTGCGCTGCTGCACCTGTATAGACCGTTTCGAGAGTCGTTTTTGTCACACCGTCTCTCTCGCACTCCATGGGGCGTCCCGTGTGGGTGCGAGAGAGACAGAGCGATGAAAACGACTCTCGGAATCAGTCCACTGCACTGCCGCGCGGTCACGCTGGCCGCTGGGATGTCCACTGTGAAAAAGCTTCCAAACAGAACGCAGAAGGCAGAGCAGCCGTCAGCAGCAGCAACGTACGCGCGCCTGCCTGTGTGTGTGAGTGCAAGTCTGTGTGGATGCACGCGGGATGCACACTTTACTCGCAAGGACATTACTGATGGCGCGGTGTTTGAAGGTGAGATGGCTTTCCGTCTGGCCCCTTTCGGTGTTGTGACGCTTGCCCTTCAATGAGAAGATGGTTAGGGGGGGGGGTGCTGATAAAGCTAATCCCTCGCTTAACCGCCGCCTCTAAAACCTCTTGAGAGCCCCTCCGCGCTCGCAGGCATGTCACAAACTTGCGCGCTGCCGCAATCCGAGGAGGCGTTTATCTTTTTTCGGCCACGCCGCATGCCTCAAGAAAACGAAGCACTCTATCGTGATCCACTGGTAATCCGCCGCACTCACGGACTCCCGGCGCCGAGCTTTGTCCCGTCTTTGCTTTGGCTGCCAAACTGTTGTGGCCGCAAGGACGTCGACGTCATAGATAGGAGGTGTGAAGGAATGGTCCTTAGCCTTTGGAGCGTACGCGCGCAGGTCCAGCGGCAGGGTCGCCAACGGTGACCCGCTGCGCATGGCGCGTGGAACGCCTGACAGGTGGGCCACCAGGCCTGCCTGCCTGCCCCAGGCCGTCGGGGTTGCATTCTGGCCACAAGGAACCAAGCAAGAAGCGCGGTGCAAAGGTGAAGAGGGAAGCGCAGCGGTCGTGGCGCCACGTCCAAGCGCGAGCCAACGCGTGTACACATTAGTCCGCGCGAAGCCCTCCAAAAGACCGCAGAAAAACAAAAAAACAGCCAACACTCAAAACTATCTGAAATCCAAGTTCATCACATTCAGGAGTGGTGCTTTAAATTCAGTAATCAAGCACAGATAAAAATCGTAAGTGCAGGTGCACACATTTCGCCGAAGATTTACAATTATCAGCCGATCGCTAATCTCGAGGGGGTGTGCACTCTCAAAAGCTGTGACTCAACATTGCGACTATTATAATGTTACATAAAATGTGTTTTTGGAGCCATTGGGTCATTACGTTGCGCTGTCACGCCTTCTATTAACGAGGATAGTAGAGTGACCCAAGTATTATTGTTTTTTTTGTTTGTTTGCCTGATGTGTTTTGTTTTTTTTTTGCTTGAAATGACTTGACTTTTGCCAGTGTATACTGGTGAAACTAAAGCGTGACTCTATGCTTGAGTCAAGCATAGAGTTGCGCTTGAAGACGTTACGCTTGAAATCAAGCATACTCTGGAAATTGCCCCACGCATTTAGATAGGTGAAATCTTGGCGGATGAGCCTGTTACGCTTGATTTCAAGCGTAAACTGATTACGCTTGAAAACAGAGGGTAATACTACGCTGTAGTTTTACCAGTGTACGACGAGGAGAATCGTGTGCATCGGGTGGCGGGCGGCGCGGCGGCGTCGTGTCGCGGCGCGACGCGGCACGGTCATATAGACACCCGACGCGGCCGTCGTCCGTTCAGTCACACCGCGACCGCGGACGAAGACGAAGACGAAGGCGGGAAGAGGGCGAGGGCGCTCCACTTGGCTGTGCCATTTCTATTTCCACCGCCAGCGCTGTGCCAGCCACTCCAGCAGTCGGCGCGCGTCGCGTCCACGAGCTCCACGAGCCACTCACTGGGCCAGGCACTGAAATAGCGGCAGTGGGCCAAAGGCAGCCAACGGCAGCCAACGGCAGCCAGAGGCTTCGAACGGAACGGAACGAAGCGGAGCAGCGGCTGTCGTCGGCAGCGACATTCAAAGAGCACGCCCGGCACGGTCGCCGAGTCAGCCAACAACATGCTGCAAAATTGGTGAGTCCTTTACCTTCGTCTGCACTCAGAGATCATGGAAGGCGTTTTTAGGATTCTTTTTTTTTTTTTTAACACATTCGACACTGCAAAAACATCATTAGATTTTAAAAGTAGGAGTTTTTTTTAAAAAAAATTATTTAAAAGTAGATTACTGCACACAAAAAATGTCAGAACTGCGTGTGAGGTTTGGCCTACATTCGGACTCCCACAGTAGTAGGGCATGCCCCCTGAAATATGAATAACATCCCGGGACAGACTATTCTGAGCGAGTATTTTTGCAAAGGATGGTGGTAACCGTGGGACTAACTGTGCCCTTTCTCTCGGCCGGCGGTGAGGTGACGGCTCTCCGCTCGTAATCCGGAGCCGGCAGTCGGCATACGGGTCTAGGTCGACCGGCGGCCGGCAGCGGACTCGGCACGGCGCAGCGTGGCGCAGACACGCATAGGTCGGGTCCGTTCCGCAGCGTTCCGCGCCGCTTCACCGCAGTGAAGGCCTTAGGCACGCCAGACAGGCCGGCCTACAGTGCAGTTGCCGGTGAAGCGTGGAGCCCATCGGGCGTCGCAGAGTCACGGAGTGCACGGTGTGCACGGAGTCACAGCGCCCCTTTGGCAACGTCAGCTGGAAAGTCACGTTGCCGGCCTCTGCGGCAACCTCGGGCAACCTGTTGACGGCGATCGACGGGGAAGTCCGGTCTGGGGAGCGGGGAAGCGTGAGTCAGCCACCTGAGAGCGCAATGCGGACAAAAGCACAAAAGTGTGACACGCTTCTGCCCAGGACGCTCCATCCCAGACCTCACCTACCAAAAATTACACCAACCTGACCTACCTAACCTAACCTAACCTAACCTGACGCGACCACGATGTGGCCATCATGCGTGAAGACAGCCGGCGTATTCGTGATAGCCTCGTGCCAATGCTGCCAATAGCGTGACGCGGGATTAGTGAGAGGACTCCATATTGATTTTATGCGTGAGCGAAGCAGACAGGGCTGAGATGCACCGCAATCAATTAATTAAGGATCAGCGAGATACAGCTATCAGCTTGCTTTATAGTCTAGGATTGTAGATTAAGCCGAGATTATGCCTAGATGAGGTGCGGCGGTTGGTCTTTGTTGCGAAACCGCTCAGCAGCAAGCGGTTCGCTTTCTTGCCCGAGACAAACCCCAGCAGAACACTGATGAGTTATGTCAGTCAACTGGTCGAATTGAAGTCATCTCGATGCAGCCTTTGTTTTTGTGTTCAAGCTGGGAATGTTGCGCAACAGCCGTCCGCGTCTGGGCCGATCCCAAAGGGAAAAGTGTCGGGTAGGTGGCGAGACACGGGGCACAGCCGTGCATATTCTTATCGCCAGACTTCTATTTCACGGGACAAAAGTATTACATCATCGTCACCGCGCCAATTTGCTGGGCCCGCTCTACAATGACATCACTTTGCATGCGTGTCATCCTTCAGCGAGATTAGATAAACGGGCCGAACGGGGAAAAGGAGATGTGGAGGAGGGTCGCGGAACGACGCGTAAAACGGAGAGATTTTGACAGACGCGAGAGACCTCGTGGTGAAACTGAAAACAAGCCCACATCATAAGCAAAAAAATTACCGTTTTTTTTTGTGTTCAAAAATATTTTTATTAACACAAATATGCAGTCAATGGTCAAATTGCGCAATCTGACATTCTCTTTGTGACAAAAAATGCAGTTTTCCGGACCAGTTTTTTCGTCAGAACAAGTGCATGGCAAATGAAGAACATTCTAGGCACCGTTCGTGGGCACCCCAAAAGGTATAACATTTTCCAAGATTATAAGCTGATGCGGAGAGTGCGATGTGTCTCTTTCTCTCAACAATGGACTGCTTTCTTCTCAAGTCGCGAAAGTGTACTCCTTATCAGTGCGACGGGTCGTCGCTCGGAAAAGCAGGTGTCTGAGTGCAGTACAGTCAAACGCATAAACACAGTCAATGACATTGTTTGGACCAAACTTGAATCCAGTTTCTGAGAGAGTAAAAATTAAGATGCATGTCCTGGAAGTAACGGGGATTCCCTCGGCAGGTCCCGCCGCACCAAATGGCTGGTGAGCATCGCAGCTGCTGCGGTGATTGTGGTGGTGATTGTCCTCGCAGTGGTGCTGCAGCCCCAGGAAGGTCCGTCACTCCACATGAAAACATTGAAATAAGTCTTTCTAACAAACCTGAACCCGCATCAACAAGAGGCACTGTTAAATGAATTTCTGGTTTTCAGACAAGGGCTACAGAGGTGCCATCGCGACGGACGCGGCCCCCTGCCATGAAGTGGGAGAGTGAGTACACTTTCTGCTGCTCGGAGAGTCTCGCTGCTGGCGGTCGTTACCTTGTTGCTGTGTCGCAGGCGGCTGCTCCGCGCGGGCGGCAACGCCGTGGAGGTGACCATCGGCATCCTGCTCTGCGAGGGCGTCTCCTCGGCGCAGAGCATGGGGCTGGGCGGCGGCTTCCTCATGACCATCTACGACCGCAAGAAGAAGAAGTCGTACGTGATGGTGGCGCGCGAGCCCGCCGCCCTCGCCGCCTTCGAGGACATGTACCACGGCAACGGGAACCTGTCGCTATACGGTAACTTTTAGTGACCGGCTGCTTTTGGCAGAAGACACTGAAACAAAGTCTGAGGTGACTGTTTTTTTCTCTTCCGCAGGCGGCATGGCGGTGGCCGTCCCGGCCGAGCTGGTGGGTTACGACGTGCTGTACAAGAAGTTCGGGGGCAGCCTGACGTGGGCCCAGCTCGTGGAGCCCACCATCAAGATCTGCGAGGACGGAGTGCCCATCATCCAGTATGTCGAGAACATCGTCAACGGTCCCAAGGTCGGCCCGAGGATCCTGGAGTCACCCACTCTGAGGTAACATCGCCGTGTTCACTGGGCAAATAGCTGCTTACCTTTTGTGACTGGAAAAGTGAATGCGGGTTGGGGCGGAAAACAAATTCTCAACAAATATCTAGTTTGGTCTGGCGTCACTGCATCCGCACGATCGGCAATGGTGGCAGTGGCGCCGAAGTTGTCGAAGTGCAGATGCCAAGAGGTTCCTCCGTTCTTGCAGTGAGATCTTGGCGCCGGGCGGCAAGCTGCTCAAGAAGGGCGACCTGATGAAGCGCACCAAGCTGGCGGACACGCTGCGCGTCGTCGCCAAGGAGGGCGGCAGGGCGCTGCACAGCGGCTCGCTCACGGCGGGCTTCGTCAAGGACCTGCAGGACTTCGGCTCCATCGTGACGGCCGAGGACCTCGCGAGCTACGAGTACGTTCCCTTCCCTCGGTACTGGTATGCCACGGTGGAACGAAGTGGAACTCATTTTGAACTCCGGCAGGCCGCGACTCATCGAGGACCCCCCCGTGGCCCCGCTCCCCGGCGGCTACAAGCTGATCGCGCCGCCGCCGCCCGGCTCGGGGCCGCTGCTGGCGCACTTCCTCATGCTCACCGCCGACCTCATCAAGACCCCTCTGGACGACCAGCAGCACCAGCGCATCGTGGAGGCCATGAAGTTCGTGTACGCGGCCAGGACCGACTTCGGCGACCAGGAGTTCGTGCCGAGCGCCAAAGCGGTACGCCTCGTCCGAACAGGACACCGAGTTACACTTCCCGCGCCAACAGGCTTCAACCATTCCGCCTCTGTTCCACAGAAAGCGCAGCAGCTCTTGGACGCCTCGTTCGCCGCGGAGATCCGCGCCAAGATGCAGCAGGTGGACACCCAGACGTCCCTGGACCCCGAGTTCTACGGCGCCTCCTGGTCCACGCAGGACCCCCAGGGCACCGCGCACGTATCCGTCATCACCGAGGACTTCGCCGTCTCCGTCACCAGCACCATCAACACCGAGTGAGTACCGCGCCAGCGCGCCACAATGGGCCAGAAGACCGGTAGAGGCGGAAAAAATCCCGGACGCGTTTTGAGCTCCAGAGTCGCTAAATGGGACTAGAACTGAACGCTAGACCCCACCAATGGATTGCTCTCCGAACGAGGAATCCATAGATAGGGTCACACGTTCGGTTCGAGGCCTGTTTCGCGACTCTGGAGTGCAAAACGCGTCTAGAGTTTTGGCCGCCTCCACCGGTCTTCCGGTCCACTGTGCGCCCCGTCAACGAGTGCGAGGGAGACAGCAGTCGTCACGTCCGCGTCCGCCCTCCCAGGTACGGCTCCATGCTCGTGTCGCCGTCCACGGGCATCATCCTCAACAACGAGATGGACGACTTCTCGCTGCCCGGCGTCAACTCGTACTACGGCGTGCCGCCGTCGCCGGCCAACTTCATCCGACCCAAGAAGATCCCGCAGTCCTCCATGTCGCCCTCCGTCATCCTGGACGCCGACGACAACGTGCGGATGGTCATCGGGGCATCCGGCGGCACTCGGATCATCTCGTCTGCCGGACTTGTACGTGGCAATGCCGGAAATTTTTTTGTGTCTACCGCTCTGCGTTCGTTACACCTAACTTTCTTCGCCCAGGTGACCTTGTACCACCTGTACCTCGGCATGGGCTTGGACGAAGCCATCCGGCTCAAGCGCTTCCACCACCAGCTCATGCCCATGGCAGTGCAGTGCGAGTTGGGCATGGACGAGGCAAGTTTGTTTCTCTTAACCTGGGTGAAAGAAACCGAAAAGTTGGCTCTAAGCCATGCTATAAAGCGCCTGTGAAGTCCAGGGTAGGCCAGCCCGCCGGACACGCCTGTGGTGAGGGCGTGCATCGCGGGCTACTCAGGCTGCTACCATGCCTGGACTTGCAGGCGGAATTTTAAGTTGGAGGACTTGATGTTTCAGGAGATGAAGAGAGGCTTCGAGAAGTACGGCCACCAGACGATGAACCTGTCCAGGACGGCCTCGAGCGTCATGGCCATCTCCGTGCACGGCAACAAGTACTACCCGTCCGCGGACGCCAGGAGGGAGGGCGTCACGGCCCTCATCCCCTTATGAGCCGCTGTGTCAGTGCCGCCGCTATGGCGAGACATTTTTCGAAAAGTTAGAGGACGGTCAAGTGAGAGGCTAACTAGTCCTATGGCGATGAACGCTTGTGTCCACACGCGCTCTTTTATCTGACTGTGATAATCATCACGCAAAGTGCTATTTCGTGCCGCATGTAGTTTTACATTTGTATGAAATGACTATGTCGGCGCACCCGACTGCATTTTTGTGATACATTTCGATCGAGAAATTTGATGTCTCGGTTGTATTTATTATGACGCATTTACTGTGTGTGTATGTGGCGTTTGTGTGTGTATTTGTGTGTGTGAGAGAGCATGTACGTGTGTGTGTGTGAGCGTGTACGTGTGTTTGTGTACAGTTCTGGTGTCTGGAAGCAGTGCAACATAATGTGAAATGTAAAGACTTTGCACGACTAGCGTAGCAAGATTTGTTTTTCTTTTTAGCGTCGTATTATTTGCCGGTACTCTGATGCTCAACACTGTGTCGTGTTAACATCACCGTAAAGCATGACAACGCTGCTCGTGCCAATAATCCTTAGTTTGTTTAGAAGAAAATCATATGTAAATTACGAGGGAAAATGAACAGGATTTTAGTTGAAGTTTTTATTTTATTTACTATAAGACAGATGAAGCCTAACTCTTAGTATATATTTTCCACATCTTTTAACACTACCTTTCTTTTATCTCAACTATACACGATGCAGGAATGTTTGTGGGAGAAGCATTTTATGTAATTTACAGGACACTTCTTGAAAAACTGAATTTATCATTCGTTTCCATTTTAGATAAGAGGATCTTAAATCACCGAAGTTAGATTAAAATGACCTGAACTGAAGTATTATAACAAACGAGCTATTTGTTGCAAGACATTATCGTTAGATCGAATTGAACCTAGGCAAGGGTACAGTGATTTAATTTAACGCTGGTCTAATCCTGAGTCATTCCCTCTCAGGACTGTGATACACAAAGAAGGAAGACCAGGAGCATTTTAGAGTCGCCCAACTAAATTATTCAACAACTTTTAAACGCGGGTTTTTAAAGAACTACCTCCATTCTCCTCGAAGTTTACAGACGTCTCAAAATCTTAAAACATCAATTTTTATTTTTATGGACAAGACATTACTTGGTAAAGCAATCACCCCAGCACGTTTGCCGATGCCTTCACTGTACGACGTCTTGCGAAGTTAAGAATCTGATGAAAAAGGTAATAAACAGATATAAGAAGTATAAACCCATTAACTCATTCACACAGTAAATGTGCTGTTAGGACGCCATTTTCACTTAAATCACTAAGAAACATTTTATTCCTTCATAAAAATATCGAAAATTCAATTGGATATTCTAGATGACACAATATACTTATAATAGCGCACGATGGAGTGGCGTGACTGAGTCAGAAGCCCCAGTCACAAGGCTCTCAAGGCGAAAACAAATATTTCTGTCATGTGGTACATTCTCTTGCCAAACTATCACAATTTGAAATGCTTTTCAAGCAGTTTCAACCATAACAATCCTAAGACAATTAACAAGGCGACGGGAATGCGGAAGTTGAAGGCTCGTAAGCAACACGTCGTGAATTTAAAGGATTATTAATTGTAAGGAAACTTGCAATTTTATTGGGCCCAAGCACAATAGATTGAACGCTTTAGAACGCACACTGCTGCCTTCCTCGGATGTAGGTTTTAAGGTTTGCCAGCGTTAAATGCACTGTCCTGCATCTGCAGAATGACCACTTTACATTTACCAAATTCAAGCCCAGCGCAATGCTTATACTTGTGCTAGATAATTTCTACTGAATAGACGCCATGAAGACCAAACTTTGAAATGAAGCCTCTTCCATCGACAGGAAGCAATACATTCAAAATTGCACAAGCTGACAAACCCATTCAGCTATTGAAGCACAGGTCCAAAATGTCTGTTATAGTTAACTAGATATTTGTGCACATTAATCTAGACAATTATCGCATTTCGAATAAAAGGTGGCTAACGCATTTAACTAACACGGCGTTACAATCATCCTTCAAAAGAAACACTCCCGAAGGGCCTCCCTCCATGGCATCCTTACTGGCGTTATTTTATTAGGATAAGAAAGTAAAATTTGGTCCTAATTCAGCAAAGAGTAAAATAGAACAACCAGAAGTATAAAATAGTGTTGAGATTTCTTATTGCTCTTTTGGAGCCTCTAAAAGAGTCAAAGCACCATAGGTTATTGAATAAATAGATATTCAATAAAGTAACAAGGCAATCAACATGACACAGCCATGTATTGAGCCTGATACAAATGATACACAATTCTCTTCATAATCAACATAGCTAAAACAGTTCAGATCTATACAAACCAACAATATATTCTTAGATTACTCTCTCACTCTTTCTTCTCACATCAACTGAAACCATTCTTCCTTCATGATTGGAAAAAATATATTTATATATTGTGTTATTCGCACTAATTTAAACTAAAATTCACAGACGGCCGAGTAAAAGTGGCCATTGCTAGAGGCAATGACGTTTAACTGTACAATAATACAATTTATAAAAAGTATGTGAGAAGGTAGGCGCCAAGCAAAACAGTTCAGCGCACAGTCGAGAAGAATTATCAGCAATACGTCCATTACACTACGAACAAAACTCAGCACAAGCGCACTTGGAGCCCGCTATTCGATTTGATAAAATTTGTAACGTGAGTACACCAAAATGACTGCCCCTTGACAATGCGCGCTGAAAATGTTGCATATCCCGTATGGTCGCGGTCGACCTCCTGCCACACTCACAGAATATTCACAGAATAGGCAAGTCTCTGACGTGTAACATAGAGCCGTACGTGCAAGTCCTACATCGTAAATCCTATTAGTTAAATTTGCCTGTAATTTGAAGAAAACTCAGACTATAATGAAACCTATGTTACGCGAGACAGTTGAAAAGGAAAACAAAACAAGAAACAAACACGAACTTCTCCGTTAGTGTTTACTACAAAGACATTCGAAAAGGCCACTCCTGGTTAAAATGGTAAACGCCGTGAAATTATAGTCTAAATATTTTGATTTTCGAAGAAAATCTGGATGAATCGTTATCTCCTTTACGATCCACTGGACGAATAAAGCAACAACATTAAACGCACCCCTTCTATACTGCTGATGCGAACAAATCTTTTAGTGCCAAACAACAATTGGAAGCTCCTTTTCATACCAGGCCTTTTTCGACTTTCTATGACATTCTATATCGGCATGACTGAAAGTGGCTTAGTAACGCTCAGTTTAACTGTGCACATCATAATAAGTGTGACCTGCAATACGTAAAATCTTTAGTCTTGTATACGCCAGGTCTAGTTAGCTTAGGTGCCATGACAAGAGTACAAGCGTAATATTATTTAGGCAGTGCCAGGACACAACAGTAAGCATCCCTATCAGGCGTCAAACCTCGCTCTCGGACACCACTGAAAATCATGAATCATGATATTATAAAACTAAACAAGTATCTCAACAACAACTTCAGTTTTACTAAATTGACGAGGTAATAAAACTTTATTAATAAACTACAACAACTAGTAACAATTTGATAACAGGTCAACAATGTTAAACGGTCCAGTTTGTCATGGCAGTAACTGTTCAGCAAAAAATAAAGAAATGGGGAGTGAGTCGAGGGCGGGGCATGGCGGCGGTTCCCGCGCCCGCGACTCGAGTCTCCGGCAGCAAGTCACCCCGACAGCAAGGATGGGATGGGGCGCTGTCGCCACCCTGTCGGCCACCCTGTACGACCTGGCCGACCACCGGGCTCCAGACGACCAGCCGACCAATAGGGCGGCTGGCGCGGCTGGCGTCACGCCCTAGCGCGCCCAGGGTGTGAGGTTCCTCGTTTGGGCCTCTCGGTGTGCCCCCGGGCGGCCTGGACACCCTGGGCCTTGCCCTGGGCAGGCTGGCTATGGCGGTGCACCCTGCGCGTGGTGTCGCGCTCAAGGCGGGTCGGCGCCGTCCTTCTCCCGGATGGCGCGCACCAGGTGTTCCCGCAGCTCGGCCTCGGAGCACCGCGACAGTCCCAGCAGCTCGTCGCGGGACAGGCGGTGCAGCGACCCCGGCCGGCCCTTGCCGCCCTTGCCGGCGCCCTTGGCCTTGCCGGGGTGCCGGCGGCTGGCCACCGCCGCGGCCCCCGCGTCCAGCGACGCCTTGCACGCCTCCTCGTCCTCCTCCGTCTCCTCCAAGAGCGTGTCCGCCGTGGTGTCCGCGGGGATGGCCGGCGCGGGCGGCTCCGGGACGGGGCCCACCACCACCACGGTGGTGGAGGAGGAGCCGCCGCCGTTGTTGCCGTTGCGGCCGTTGAAGAGGCGCGACGCGGACCGCGAGGCTCCGCTCTCGCCGATGGGGTTCAGCTTGGCGCCCACCTGCAGTCAGACACAGTCAGCCACGGCCGCGGCGCACCGGCCGAGGCGGCCAAAATCCCGGACGCGTTTTGAGCTCCTGAGTCGCTAAATGGGACTCGAACCGAACGTGTGACCCCACCAATGGTGCCCTCCGAACGAGGAATCCATTGCTGGGGTCACATGTTCGGTTCGAGTCCTGTTAAGCGCGACTCTGGAGCTCAAAACGCGTCCGGGATTTCGGCCGCATGCGCAGTGTGCGGAGTGGCGCCCCAACCCACCGAGTCGAGGTGCGACGCCCTCCTGGAGTTGAGGTCCGGCGGCGAGGTGCTGCCCTTGGAGAGGCGGCGGCCGACGGCGGCGCCGAGCAGCCTGGGGCTGAGCGCGGCCTCGGACGAGAAGCGGCGCACGCTCAGCGACGACCTGGAGCCCGCCTCGTCGCCCTTGGGGGAGCGCGAGAACAGCTCCCTGGACAGCCTGCGCGCGATGTCCAGCCGGCTGGCGCACGGACTCTTGGAGCGGCGCCGTTGGCCGTCGGGGCGCAGAGAGGGGCCGTCGCCTGGCGAGCCCACCGAGTCGCCGCCTTCCTCGCCAGGTGCCGACCCCTCCGCGCGCTCCTCCTGCTGGACCCTGTGCCGCCAGCAGAGAGAGGGGCAGGTCAGGCAGGCGTCGACCCAGTCGACCGTGGCTACTACCAGCCCTGGGACTACCGGCTAAAGCTAGGTCACTAACGTCGGAAGACGCCTAACCCGGATTTAAACAAGTTTCCCTTCTGTGTTGCTTTGATTCGAGCAGAATGCAATTACGATCCCCTTCACGCAAGTCATCACGTTACAAGCGGAACCGGAACTACTTCGATGAGGTACCTACCTCCGGATCTCCTGGATCATCTCGAAGAACTGGGCTTTGCTCTTTCTCCTTCTCCGCTGTTCGTGTTCCTTCTGGAACAAGGACCACGCGCAAAGGTGCGCGGGCGCCACCATCACATAACCATCGAGGTTCACCACGTCCGAGTGCCTGCGGCATGCCTGCGTTAGCCTGCGTGTGCCTTGCCGCGAGCTTCGAGCTTCGAGTTTCGAGCTTCGAGCTTCCAGCTTCCAGCTCCGAGCTTCGAGCTTCAAGCTTCGAGCTTCGAGCTTTGAGCTTCGAAATTCGAGCTTCGAGCTTTGAGCTTCGAGCTTCAAGCTTCCAGCTTCGAGCTCCGAGCTTCAAGCTTCGAGCTTTGAGCTTTAAGCTTTGAGCCTTGAGCTTCGAGCTTCGGCTCGCAATGCGGAGCGACGCGCTGGTGCGCTGCTTGGCTGTGAGAGCGTCGGGAATGTTAGAGGACCGTCGTGTCGCTCGAAAGTGAGGTCCGAATGAAGTTCAGGGAGTCCAATAAGGTGTAGGAAAGTAATGGACAGTGACAGTGTCGTCAGTCTGTTTGGTGTCGTCGAGGAAGTTAACGCGCCGACAAAGTGGCCAATCTAAATCATCGTCAACTTGTCAACTTAATACTTGATGAAGTGTCTGGGCGTTCGTGTCCGTCCGACTCGTCGCTGTGCCACGCTGTGCGGACGCGCGGCGGCGAAGGGCATGCCGGCAAGCATTCAGAGCGCGCGGGAAAAATAATTGAACAGTTTGCAGCAAAGTGAAAATAAAACAAGGAGAAAGTCAAGCGACCACAGCTAGCTCCACGCTTCGCTGCTACTCTACAAGCGTCCGAACTCGCTCGCTCGCTCCCACCGCCGCGAGCCCCCTGGGGGCCCTGGGGGACCCGTCCCTTCGCTGCACATACCCGCTTGACGCTCTTCTGGAAGAGGCTGGTGATCTGGCCCTGGCGCAGGGTGTGCACCAGCTCGCGCGCCGCGTGGTGCGGCGACACCAGCTCCACGCAGTTGATGAAGCGGTACAGTTTCTGCAAGGAGAAGCGAAATGAGCCACTGTTGCACAGTGAGCCAGAAGACCGGTGAAGGCGGCCAAAAGTCTAGACGCGTTTTGAGCTCCACAGTCGCCAAATGGGGCTCGAACCGAACGTGTGACCCCCACCAATAGATTTCTCGTTCGGAGAGCAATCCATTGGTGGGGTCACACGTTCGGTTCGAGTCCTATTGCAGCGGTTCTCAACCTTAAGGTCGCGACCCCAAGTGGGGTCGCGAAAAAATTTTAAGGGGTCGCGGCGAGGTAGCTGGGGTCGTGTTTTGGGCCGATTTTAAGCAGCCACTGCGTCTGATCCGAGGCGGGCATTTTGCTCCCTCAACCGGCAATTGGTCTTTGAACCTTCCTTTAGCATGCCTTTGTTACGGAGTGTGATTATCAGTCTTAGTTTGGGAGCAGCATTGTCTCAAAGTTTACCAAAACGGTCAGAAATGTCTTTGAAAAATCGTGTTTTGGGCTGATTTTAAGCAGCCACTGCGTCTGATCCGAGGCGGTATTTCGTCCTCCTTCAACAGGCAATTGGTCTTTGGACCTTCTTTTAGCATGCCTTTGTTACGGAGTGTGATTATCGGTCTTAGTTTGGGAGCAGTATTGTCTCAAAGTTGGCCGAAACGCTCAGAAATGTCTTTGAAAAATCGTTGTGCCTGTTTTGGTAAACTTTGAGACAATACTGCTCCCAAACTAAAACTGATAATCGCATTCCGTAACAGAGGCATGCTAAAGGAAGGTCCAAGGAACAATTGCCCGTTGAGGGAGCAAAATGCCCGCCTTGGATCAGACGCAGTGGCTGCTTAAAATCGACCCAAAACATGATTTTTTAAAGACATTTCTGAGCGTTTTGGCCAACTTTGAGACAATACTGCTCCCAAACTAAGACTGATAATCGCACTCCGTAACAGAGGCATGCTAAAGGAAGGTCCAAGGAACAATTGCCCGTTGAGGGAGCAAAATGCCCGCCTTGGATCAGACGCAGTGGCTGCTTAAAATCGACCCAAAACATGTTTTTTTAAAGACATTTCTGAGCGTTTTGGCCAACTTTGAGACAATACTGCTCCCAAACTAAGACTGATAATCGCACTCCGTAACAGAGGCATGCTAAAGGAAGGTCCAAAGACCAAGTGCCCGTTGAGGGAGCAAAATGCCCGCCTCGGATCAGACGCAGTGGCTGCTTAAAATCGACCCAAAACATGATTTTTTAAAGACATTTCTGAGCGTTTTGGCCAACTTTGAGACAATACTGCTCCCAAACTAAGACTGATAATCGCACTCCGTAACAGAGGCATGCTAAAGGAAGGTCCAAGGAACAATTGCCCGTTGAGGGAGCAAAATGCCCGCCTTGGATCAGACGCAGTGGCTGCTTAAAATCGACCCAAAACATGATTTTTTAAAGACATTTCTGAGCGTTTTGGCCAACTTTGAGACAATACTGCTCCCAAACTAAGACTGATAATCGCACTCCGTAACAGAGGCATGCTAAAGGAAGGTCCAAAGACCAAGTGCCCGTTGAGGGAGCAAAATGCCCGCCTCGGATCAGACGCAGTGGCATGCTAAAGGAGGGGTCCCGTGGGGTCGCGAAACTTTTCCTGGGGGTCGCGGAAATTTTTGGCTACAAATTTGGGGTCGCGAGCCGAGAAAGGTTGAGAATCGCTGTCCTATTGAGCGACTCTGGAGCTCAAAACGCGTCCGGGATTTTGGCCGCCTCCACCGGTCTTCTGGCCCACTGTGTGTTGGAGCCGGATACGGTCCTCCGGTTCAGCCTGCTTGGCCACGGCCACGCGACGTGCCTGGCTGAAGAACATGATGTTGCGACTCTTCCAGATGGTGCCCTTGGGCTTGTGGCGCAGCAGGGGCAGCGTGTACTTGTAGAACAGGTGCTCCACCACCAGGATGAGGATCCCCACGGCCATGCCGAGCCCCAGCAGGATGAAGACCCCCGCGACCGCCGCCACCCCTAGCGGCCGCGGCTGCGCCATGTCGTTGGCCAGCTTGAAGCAGGGCAGGCCGCCGTACCTAAACACACAATTTTTAAAAAATATTTCAAAATTGCTGGAACATTGCATGGTATTTGACTTGACGCGGTACGCACCACTTCTCCTGCAGGATGTCCATGTAGCCGTTGTTGGTGTACTTGGCGATGACGGCGGACACGCTGTCCTTGAGCGGGAAGCCCTTGGCCATGCCCACGGCGTACGTGTCCTCGTTGATGGCGTCCCCGATCTTCTGCAGCTTGCAGCCGTGGTCCGTGGCGCGGTAGTAGTCCAGGATGGGCGTGTCGGCGATCAGGATGTCCAGGGTGCCGTTCCTGCGCCGAGTCGGTCAGTCGCGCTGTCTCTCTCGCACCCTCACGGGACGCACAGTGGGCCAGAAGACCGGTGGAGGCGGCCAGAACTCTAGGCGCGTTTTGAGCTCCAGAGTAACTAAACTGGGCTCGAACCGAACGTGTGACCCCATCAATGGATTCCTTGTTCGGAGAGCAATCGATTGGTGGGGTCACACGTTCGATTCGAGTCCCATTTAGCGAATCTGGAGCTCAAAACGCGTCCGGGATTTTGACCGCCTCCACCGGTCTTCTGGCCCACTGCGGGACGCGCCGTGAGTGCGAGAGAGCCAGAGCGGGGGATTACCTGAGTCGGTGCACCCCTTCCTCCACCGTGGCCACGCTGAAGCGCTGCATGTGCTCCCACAGGTGGGGGTTGGCCCTGTGCACGTAGTAGTCCGCGGCCGAGTGTCTGGGCGCGCCTACCTTCTGGCTTAACAGCTGCAACGGAAAAAAATGGTAAATTTTTTGAAAGTTTTTTCGAACATTGGTTGACGCTTGGAGGTGCTGGGCACTTACACTGCGGTCGTGGTAGTTGGAGACGGCGTTGTGGAAGAAGAGGCCGGCGATGAGCGCCGCGATGTTGGCAGTGTAGGAGGCGACGAAGAGCACGGAGAAGCCGCCCCAGACGTTGATGAGGAACTTGTTGGGCCACGACTTGGGGGCCTTGAAGGCCACCAGGTGGCCGCACAGCAGGCCCCACATCACCTGCGGGGAATCGGGCCGTGGTCAGGACACAATAATTTTTGTTGTTTTTGGCCGCCGGCGCCGGCCTTGTGGCCCACTGTGGGGTGCGAGAGAGACAGAGAGACTCACCCAGAGCGCTGACGCGATGCTGAAGTTCTTGGAGCGCTGCCGGCCCCAGGGGTTGAGCCCGAAGGGGCTGAGCCACTCGTAGACGGCCACGGCGATGGCGGTCAGGTTGAGCGACAGGAAGATGGCGATCCAGAGCTCGGGCGAGAAGGGCAGCAGGAAGGCGTGCAGCGGGATCTCGCTCTTCTGCGTGGGCGCGGCGAGGAAGGACACGCCCGAGTAGAAGAAGGGCACGGAGAAGTCCATGACCTCGGAGCGCGAGCTGGACACGCTGAGCGCGGCGAAGGACATGTGCGCCGCGCCCGAGGTGAGGTCCCCGACGATGCCGTTCCACTTCCTGGCCGCGCGGCCGGGCGGCGCCAGGCCGGGCGCGCGCGACTCCCGGTTGACGCGGCTGCGCTGCGGGCGCTGCTCGCCGCCCGGCGAGTACTTCTGCTTCTGGTGGTGCTGCAGGCGCTGGTCCTGCTCCGCGTCGTGCATCGCCTGCTCGGCGCCCTGCTGGCCGTGCTGGCCGTGCTGGCCGTGCTGCCCGGCCGGCGGCGGCGCATTCTTCGGCTGCAGGTCCTGCTCGAGGTGGTGCGACTGCTGCGTGTGCTGCGGCTGGCCGCTGGCGTAGTACGGCTTGTGGTTGTGGTGCTGGTGCTCGTGCACCTGGCTGCCGAACACCCCGTCCGACACCACGTACAGGTGGAAATCGAACTCCAGCTCGTGGGCGATGTTCTCCAGCAGGTCCATGGCCAGCCCGTAGCAGCAGTTGGTTCGATACTGCCCGGGGGAGAAAAAAGAGGGGGCGATCAGTTTTCGCGGCCATCTCCGAATTCAACTTGCAGTAAAATCTGATTCTCTGTCGTCGGGCTGGAAGCGCTGGAGGTCAAGGGGTGCTTGGCGAGACCCCCATCGCGAACCCCAGATTGGTATCGTCATGTGAGGAGAGGTAAGGAGGTGGCGGCCGTGGCGGGGCGTAAGGCGATCTTGAGGAATGGTGGGCAGCGGGCAGCCAGGCAGGCAGGCAGCCAGGCAGCTCGCATCGCCTTATTTATGTCCGCTCGTAAAAGCTTCAATCCGCTTCTGCGTCGCCCCGAGCACAGCGACCATCGCGTCGTCGCTCTGTCTCTCTCGCACCGCCGAGGGACGCCCCGTGAGTGCGAGAGAGACAGAGCGACGAGAGCACGGTTCGAAATCAGCCTCCAGGGGCCGGCGGCCCCGCCCGGCCGCACTCCGCCACAACCTCTATCACATCGCAGTCTCAGACACCACCAAAACAAAAGCCCTTGTTATTTCTGACGTTTTCCAGTCCCGAGCTAGCAGCTTCCACTGAGAAATCTCTGTGTGAAACACCGAGGTATCCGTTTCACGCGCAGACTGCTATTTTCCTGACCGGGCTGGGACGAAACCCGCAGCGATAGGGGTGGCACGTGGAGAACACGGCAGCGAATTTGGGAAAAGGCGGGCGAAGGGATGAGCCAAGCCGTTTGTTCCAGACTCACCTTGTATCTCGGTAGGTCGAACTGCTCCTCGGAATCCCCCCTGTCAGACATGAAGTATCGGTCGTGGTCCGTCCTGCCGCCGCCCGCATCCGCGCCCGCCGTCGACTCGGTGGAGGCCGGGCCGTCGTCCCTGGGCTCGCCCTTGGGCTCGTCCTGGGGGTAGTCGGGCACGTCCACGACGTCCTGCAGAACATGGTCGCGGAACGTGAAGCCAACTTCTTTGTTTCTGTTGCTTGTCGCGACAGGTTTTGGCAGCACCGCGCAGTGGGCCAGAAGACCGGTGGAGGCAGCAAAAATTCCAGACGCGTTTTGAGCTCCAGAGTCGCTAAGTGGGACTCGAACCGAACGTGTGACCCCACCAATGGATTGCTCTCCGAACGAGGAATCCGTAGGTGGGGTCACACGCTCGGTTTCAGTCCTGTTTAGCGACTCTGGAGCTCAAAACGCGTCTAGAGTTTGGGCGCCTCCACCGGTCTTCTGGCCGGAGTGCACCGAAGCACTCACCTCGGGCACCACGACCTCCTCCGCGTCCTCGCGCTCCTGCGTCTCCAGCTCGCTGAAGACCAGCGTGAGGTTGTCCTTGCCGCGCGTGAGCAGGCGGTGGCAGGGCAGCCCGCGCAGGCACTGGCCGTCCTCGTCCAGCTCGGCCTCCATGACGAAGGGCGGCGCCAGGGCGGTGACGATGCGGAACACGGAGCGCGCCCTGGCGGACAGCCCCGGCACCACCAGGTCGCCGCCGGGCCACACGATGGTGTCCAGGTCCACGACGCGGCCCAGCACGCGGCCCACGCCCCGCCACATGCCCGTCACCGTCTCGCCTGCAACAAGGGGGCGCCCCCTCGGGTTCAAACACTGGGACTCGGGCCGCTTGAGGCTGCACTGCCGTTTCACCACAAAATGTTGCCACGCGAGTTGACAAAAAGGACGTCCCGGAACGTATCAGTCGGTCGTTTCCGCAGCGATCCACCGCCGCCGTGTTTGGCCAGGGCACTCGGTGCCTCGCCGCGCTGTCTCCCTCGCACCCGCACGGGCCCACACGGGCCGCCGCGCGAGTGCGAGGGAGACAGCGCGACGAAGCACCGTTTCGAAAACACCCCGCTCGTGGCCTCAGGAACACACAGGTGCCCCGGCCCGGCGCGGCACGGCCCGGCACACAGCCCCAAGGCTGGGACAACAAGGTCTCCGCTGTCTTGGCCACGACGTGCTCGCCTGCTCGCCGAGCTTCGTTGGAACGGCCCGCAAACAGGAAGCCCTGCGTCACACTTCCCCCGCCGGGGGTCGTCGCTCTGTCTCTCTCGCACTCCTGCGGGGCGCCGAGTCGGCCAGCCTTCTCCCCGGGCACAGTGGGCCAGAAGACCGGTGGAGGCGGACAAAACTCTAGACGCGTTTTGAGCTCCAGAGTCGCCACATGGGGCTCGAACCAAACGTGTGACCCCACCAATGGATTCCTCGTCCGGAGAGCAATCCATTGGTGGGGTCACACGTTCGATTCGAGTCCAACTTAGCGACTCTGGAGCTCAAAACGCGTCTAGAGTTTTGTCCGCCTCCACCGGTCTTCTGGCCCACTGTGCGGGAACGTCTTTTCGTCTGCGTCAAGTTAACGCTGCCTCTTTTACCGTCTCCATCGGACAGACAGACGGACAGGCCAGCCGGGCTGGGCAAGTGACCATACGTTTCCAGAGGTCCCCGCCTCCAGCCCAAAACTCGCCCTCAGAAAAAAGTTCAATACCTTGCTGTGAAAGGAGCACTGGAAGAAAAAAAAGTCAGCGAAACCCTGTCACGCGGACTTGAAAGAAAAAGTGTGTTTTTCTTGCGGTCCACTGCAACTGTAAGCCACCCCGTTCCTTCCGCAGCAGCAGCAGAGTCGCTCTGTCTCTCTCGCACTCACGGGGCGCCCCCTATAGGTGCGAGAAGGACAGAGCGGCGAAAACGACTCGGCAGCTTCGGGGTGACGAGCATTTGTATCGTCGTCAACTGGGAATTGGATTAGAGGGACGCAGAGGCACCCCGCTGTGGATCGGCGGGGGAAAGGAGGGGGGGGGGACGAAATACAATTTTCTCACTTAGGTCACCATTGTGCGCGATTACACGCGCGGCCGGGCACTAATGCAGTCCTCGGCCACGCTCCGCCGGACTGATTCCGAGGAGTCGTTTTCGCCGCGCCGTCTCTGTCGCACTCATGGGGCGGCTGGGGGACGGAGCGATCGCTTCGGAACCGCTCGTCTGTGGTGGGGGCCGCCTGGAGCTTCCAGGGGGCTCAGCGGGATGCGAGAGGGACAGGCTGGTCGTACTCACCCTCCTCGTCGATGGCGTCCACCACCTCGTCCGTCTGGTGGGTGGCCTGCTGCAGCAGCGGCGCCGAGGCGCGCGCCATGGGCGGCACGGGCTGCCGCACCAGGTTGAGGATCTGGAAGGAGGCGGACAGCGTCTTGGCCGGCCGGTCCTCCAGCCAGTCGGCGCGGCCCGCCATCGCCTCCTTGGCCGCGACGCGCAGCTCCCTGTGGGGGAGAATGGGGGAGAAAGGAGCATACAGTGGGCCAGAAGGCGGACAAAACTCTAGACGCGTTTTGAGCTCCAGAGTCGCTTAATGGGACTCGAACCGTACGTGTGACCCCACCAATGGATTGCTCTCCGAACGAGGAATCCATTGGTGGGGTCACACGACGGCTTCAGACGACTGCAGGCAGAGTGCGCCCCGCCGACTCACTCAGAGCGGCGAGCCCGGCGAGGCCGGCGAGGCACAGGATGCCTGATTTGTCGTCTGCAGCCGTCTCGCTGCTGGTGCTGCTCCTCCGGAGCCAGATGCGCTTAATAGGGTCGCTGGAGGGAATTAAACCCTCGCCACGACACCCCGCCCCGCCCCGCCCCGCCCCGCCCCGCCCCGCCGCCGGTCCAGCAGAGGCAATCTTGTAACAACAAAGTACCTCCACCGGTGTGCCTCCCTCCCTCCGCTCCTCGTGCTGCTGTCGCTGCCGACGCCGCCGACGCCGAGACGGACTCCGTCAACCCAACTTCCGGCCCTTCCGGCCAATCGGGGAAGTCGCCTAGCAAAACCGCATCAGGACGGCGCCAATGACGGCGCCAATACTGGGGCCGACTGGGGCCCTGATTGGGGTTAGTCGCGATTCAGAGTTTGCGGTGTGGTGCGCTCTCGGCTTCGGCCGGACCGCCCACCAGGCGATTCGAAACGCCCAAAAGCCGGCCGTCGTTGAAACAATGACCAGCAAGATAAACAGAAACAGCGCGTGAATCGGAGCGGAGAAATTCTCTGAATCCGTGTCGCTTCGCCGCGCTTCGCCGCACTTCGCCGCGACTCGCCGCGACGACGTGATATGGTTGTGAATCATCCGTCACCCGACTCGGAACGCTCGATTAACGAATCGGCTCTCTCGAAAAGGCCCTCCGCGCTCCGCACCCCGGAAACAAAGAAAAATGGTCAAAGGGACTGGCGAGTGGAAATAGAGAAAGATTAAAATGAATAAAAAAATTTGCGCGGGCGGGGCCTGGAACTTGCCGCTGCCGCGGTGCCGCGCGGTGCCGCTTACGCCCCCCGTCCCTCGTCGCCAACGACCGAAGCACCTGGCATGGATTATTTATCACGTTGAGGCCGGGGAAAGGGGAATAAGGAAAAAGGAGGGGACGAAGAAAAGTAACACGATTTCGGCGTGAATTATTGCGGCCGGACCTTGAATCAGTCATCGGACATGCGCACTAAAACAATTTGCCGAATTAGACCCACCGAGACCTTCGCAGCCTTCGCAGCCTTCGGAGCGCCGCGGGAGGGAAATGGAGGGAAATGGAGCACCCCCTCCCCTCCCCTCCCACGCTGGAAAGTTGGAGCTCACAACGATTCCGTTCCGCCTTTGCGTGTCGCCCGTGTAAATAACCAGGGATGAATAGAAGGGGCGGGGCGGGGCGCGTGCGGTGGGGCCGTGACACCCCCTCCCCCCGTCCCCCTCCCCACGTGGTCCTCGAAACGGCCGGTGGACGGACAGGTCCATTCAAAAGAGATTTGTCGCGCGGTTTTGAATATAAGCTGTCGGCCGCGCGCTGCCTGGACTGCTGCGGGCATTTCACGGACGGTCCGGCAAACGGCTAGCTGCTCGCCCCGCCCCGCCCCGCCCCGCCCCGCCCCGCCCCGCCCAACCCACTTGTGCACGTGTCGTTAAACGCAGAGCGGCCAGCGCGCCACTGACACCGGCAGCCAACCGACGCGACCGCCACACTGTAGGAATGATCGTGGAGAAATCACTTGCGGGTTTGAAAAAAAAAACAGCAACAGCAGCAACAACAACGAAAATCACTTTCTAAACTGCCGACTCGATCCTTAGACAGTTGATAATCGTTCTCCAAACTGGGCGACACCCCTGGCGAGTCCACATGCCGTGCACGCCGCTCTCTGCGCCCCAGGAGGACTGCGGGCAACGCCAGGCAACGCGTGGCGCAGAAACAAAACTTAACTGGGGCGCTACTGTGAGAGAGAGAGAGAGAGAGAGAGAGAGAGAGAGAGAGAGAGAGAGAGAGAGAGAGAGAGAGAGAGAGAGAGAGAGAGAGAGAGAGAAGTCCCCGCGGCGGTTAAGGCGGAATTCCCTATCGAACTCACACCGGTTCGAGGTTCGGCAGGAAGGGCAACCGGGCGGCGGTGCGGCGGGGGCTTACTACAACAACTGGCCCGTTATCCTTGTCTGCTGTGCCGCTGGCCCCGCCCCGTCCCCCCCCCCCTTCCCGTCCGCGCCTACAATGTAAGGACACGACGCAGGAATGAGAAACTGCGGAAGAGTAGCTGAGACGGAAAGAGGCCGGCTGGGTGCACTCAACGCCCCCCCCCTTTTCCCTCTCCCTCCCACCCCCTTGGCCGCCGCGTTCTGTCCCGCTTCGTCCAAATCTCCGCGCAAGGATTACAACAGCACTCCCCCCCCCCACCCTCGTCCTTCATCCCCGACCTCTGATGATGGCGCCCAGTCTACTAGCGGGCCAGGACAAGGCGACCACGAAAAAAGTTTAAAAAAATATTTAAAAAGACGGAAAATAAGGAGGGGCAAAAACGAGAGCAAAGAGTGACGTCCGGATTAAAGAGCCGTAATTGACAGTGATGTGGAGGGGTGGCGATTGAGAGAGAGAGAGAGAGAGAGAGAGAGAGAGAGAGAGAGAGAGAGAGAGAGAGAGAGAGAGAGAGAGGGAGAGAGCGCAAACGAGGTTAATGAAAGGGTCCGGGGCGTGCCGCGCCTGCCCGCTCTGCAAGTTCCTCTCCTCGCCGGGCACTACCAGGGCACTGCGAGAAAGGAAGTGTATTGTCGCGGGGGAAGTTCGGTTCGGGGCGGCATTGCCGCGGCAACTCTATCCAGGGCAGCGTCGGAAGAAAACACCCTCCGAATCGGCCGCGGGGAAGGCAAGGCACAGGCAAGCTGGCGGCCTCCTGTTTGGCGCTCACTTGAAAAGCCTTCACGTGACCTTCACGCATCGCCCCGTGACCTTGGACTCTACTTGGACCTGGCCGGGGCACGCGCCGGGGCAAGGCAGTCATCAATAACTTGGACGCCGCGCTTTGGCCTCTCCATTTTGCTAAAGCCGTTCTGCTCAAAGGGAAGTCCTCGCTGTCTGTCTGCGACTGGCGATTGAGCGAAGATTAAGCGACCGGGCCGCCTGTCTGCTGTCGAGCTAGCCTCGGCGCAGGGCGCAGGGCTCAGGCCGAGCGGTCCAGACTGGTCCAAAGCGTCCCACAACTCCCTTCAAGTTGCCTTGCTCGCCCCGCCGCGCCCCGCCGCGCCCCGCCGCGCCCTGGTTGACCCAAGGCGGGATTAGCACTCTGTCTCTCTCGCACCCCTCCGGCAGGGCCCACGAGTGCGACAGTGACCGAGCGACTGCAGCAGCCAGGCAGCAGCCCAGGGGCGGCCTCGGAGAGTGAGTGCTCGGATCGCTCGCAAGGTAGCGCGCTACGCGGGACCCTGACCTTTGGAACCTCGCCGGGTGGCAACCTAAGAGATCGAAAGCCACAAGGCGGCGCAAGGCGGCGGAAGGCCATCGGGGCGAGGCGGCAACCCTAACGAGGACGTCCGGCTTGAAAGCAGCTAACCGATGGCCACTCTAGGCTGCCGAAATCCCACCCCTCGTCCTTGCTGGCAGGCTAGGCGGGGCGAGCCCAACGGGGACGCGTTCATGTGGGTCACGGCACGGCACGGCACTCGCAGTGCAGCAGATGGGGGACTGAGGATGGAGGACTCGCCGACCACAGAGATGAGAAAAGTGATCCTTCTCCGGCACTGCTGGCCCGTCGCGACCCGATACAACTAAACCTTTCGTCGGGGTTGTGCATACATAAAGTTACCGTTTTTAAGCTTTACTTCCTTTTAACGTGATTTAATGGTCAAGGTCGCCGTTTGCGAGATGTTGACACTCGTATTTCTAAGGAGGGTCACCGCATGCGGTGGGCGAGGGCGGGCCGGAAGCAGGTCGCTTTCATATCCGGGTCCTCTCTGGACTTTCCGGTCGGGCCGCAACAGCCTGCAGTCTGGCCAAGGCTGGCCAAGGCTGGCCAAGGCTAAGGTGACTGTGGGAGGCTGGAAAGTGGAGCAGCTTGCCGTCGGCTTGGCAGGCCCGGCGTGCGATTACTCCTCGTCCCGTTTAAGCTGAGCCGGCTTGTAGTGCAGTGGCAGCGGTAGCAGCAGCGGTAGCAGCAGCAGCAGCAGGGACATGAAAAGTAACGCTCGAGGACGGGAGGGACAAGTGGTGCTGAAGACTAGAGGCTCACTTGGGGGCGTTGGGCGGGGGTGTGGTCGGCGGCAGTAGGGGTGCCGGGAGGAGCAGGAGGAGTTGGAGGAGTACGAGGAGTTGGAGGAGTACGGGGAGTTGGAGGAGTACGGGGAGTTGGAGGAGTACGGGGAGTTGGAGGAGTACGGGGAGTTGGAGGAGTACGGGGAGTTGGAGGAGTACGGGGAGTTGAAGGGGAAGCAGGAGTAGGGGATGCACCAACTTCCCAGGCAGAGGTGCGATTTGAAAAAGAAAAGGACACGTCGGATGTGGTGTGGGTGGGTTTGGATTGGCGGGAGCTGGGTCGGGTCGCCGCTAGAAAGGGGCAGGGGGAGGAGGGCGCGCTCTTTCCGACGGCCTTGGGTTTTGGACCCATTGGGTTCCAGGCCGCTGCCGTCGGTACACTGGGCGCGGCTTAGGCTGCAGGGTACCGAGCGAACAAAGGCCGACAATCTTTTGCCAAGAACGCGAGCTAGTGATGGCCGTGCTGGTGGACCGACCTTGCCCACAGTGGGCCAGAAGACCGGTGGAGGCGACCAAAATTCGAGACGCGTTATGGACTCCAGAGTCGCTAAACAGGACTCGAACCGAACGCGTGACCCCACCGATGGATTGCTCTCCGAACGAGGAATCCATTGGTGGGGTCACGCGCTCGGTTACAGTCCCACTGAGCGACTCTGGAGCTCGAAACGGGTCTAGAATTTTGGCCGCCTCCACCGGTCTCCTGGCCCATTGTGCGGCTCCAGGAGTGTCGGCCGAGGCGGTGCCGGGTGTCCCCCGCCGTCCTGACGCGTCTGGGGGGTCTCGGAGGCCCTCAGCGCGCCACTGCCGACACCTGCACCCGCATGGGGCGAGCAGCGCGCAGATGGAGACGAGAGGGGGGGAGTGGGGGGGGGGATCCAGATGTGAAAGGCGCGCTGGGTGCGAGCTCGGCTGCTCTGCCGGGGAATCAGGTGACAGGGGTTGCGCCTGCCGCTGCGCTGCGTGGCGCGGCGCGGGGGGGAGGGGGAGGGGGAGGGGAGTCTCAGTTTCAGACAGGCGTGTGGGCGTGACTGACCAAAAAAATCTCATTCAACGAACGTTAATGAAAGCAGATGATACTCGTTTGGTTTTCTTATACGGGGTAGTATGCGGGCCCATTCCAAAGATAGTATTTGAAATTGTGCATGAAACAAAATACATAGACCCGAGCGAGCTGGCCGGTGTTGGTATTTTGGTACTAGCCGTGTCGAGCTGTGGCTTGCACCGCCCGCCGCCGAACCCGAGCCCGAGCGCCCCGGGCCGGGCCGAATCGGGAGGCATTGTTGCGCGATATTCCGCGCCGTGGCAGGCGGGGAGGGATTGTCAATGCGAGGAGGGGGTGCCATTGTTTACGCCCGGTGCCGCTGGTGCTGTACCGCGGAGGGATTGTCGAATTCCGCGCAGGCTGCGCCTCATTGCCAGCCAGCCAGCCAGCCACACGCACCAGCCCGCCCCGGCCGCCAGTCCCTATAGTTAGGATACGCGCTTGGTTTCTGGACTCGAGAGTAAAAGCACGCTGACACCTTCATTTGTGTAAAGTAGTATAGTAGTATGTTTCAAGTGTGAAGGTATCATCTGCTAAAAAGGGGAGAGGGTGAGGCGAGGATGGAGGTCGAAAGTGAAGTCTGCATCGCCTTGACGAGCGCAGCCGATCGTGGCCGAGCACTGCGGCCGGCGCGCGGGCCGATTTGCAAGTCAGGGCAGCGGCGTTTTTTTTTTTTTTTTGTTTTTTATTTTTGGAGGCGATGACGGGCTGGTGCCAGCACCGCCAGCACCGCCATCCATGGAAGCACATCAATCATGCACGGTCCGCCCCACCAGGGCGTGCCACGGCGTGCCACGGCGTGGCCCTGCAGGGCTGCCGACGCCAGCCTCAAGCATCGCCAGCCCGCCGTTTTGCATCCAGCCATGTACATGCCATTAAAGTGCAGATGCCGAGCCGCCGAGCCACGGCCGGGCCTCGGCCGGGCCGGGGACACAGTTCGGGAACGCGGGGGGAATGTTTGCTCGTCTCAACTGGTGTTGGGGAGGGAATGCCCTAGACGGGCCAAATAAGCGGAGCGCGCGGCGTAATCACTTTTTTTTTGTCTCGCGAGTGTAAATTTGATTGGGTGTCCGTCCCGGTGTTGATTGTCCGGGGCGGGGCGGGGTACCTACACTGTGCCACTGTGCATGCTGCATGCCGGGCCAGCCCGGGCCAGCACAGGCCCGCCCAGGGTGTGCGGGGCCAGCGGCTGGCGGGGCGTAGCGGGGCGGCCCGGGCTGGCGCGGCTCTGCTGCCCACAGAGGTTAGGGAGGGGGTCGATACTGGTGACGTCACAGGGGGCGGCGGGAGGGAGAGAGATAGAGGGGGGCAACGTGTGGGGTCCCCCTTCTCCACCCCCTACGCCCCCCATGCGGCTCCAGGCAGTCGGAGGACAAAGTTTTCGTTAAAACGGAACTTACATATTCAGAATATAAAGATGTTCCCGAGAGCTAGCGCTCACGCCGGCTGCGCGCCACACTCCATCCCCCTTTTAATGTCGAAAAGTTTTAAGTAAATAAATAGGCAATTCGGGATGGGAAGTCGCGGCAGTGGCGATAACCGACTGTGAAGCGCTCGTCCCTCTGCCGGTCCCCGCCGGTCCCCGCCGATTCGTCCAAATCGACGAGCCAACTCGTTCCTGGCAGGCAGGCAGTCAGCTCGTGAAAGCGCATTCACTCGGCTGGAGCCTCGCTGGAGCCACGCTGGAGTCCCGGCTGGAGCCGGGGCCTCATCATAAAAGACGCGCCGCCCTTTGAAAGTGCCCCCGGCGCCCCCAAAGGATCGGGCGTCCGGCACAACAACAAGCGGACAACAACAAAACCAACAGCAACAACAACTACAACGACAAGCGGTAAGGGAACCTGGAGTCGACGTGTGCGACCCACGCCGCCAGGGTTACATCGTGCAGAGCAATCCTCCCAAAGAAATTTTCACTGTTCGAAACGATTCGAAAGCCTCTCTCATAACCGAATGTAACGTCAAGCTCCCCCGCGCAGGTTAACAGAGGACAGGCTCTCTCGACTGCACGGGAAGCGTGGCAATCTGACGCGACGATCTGGAAGGACGCTCCTCTGAGCCGTGACAAGTGCCTGAGCCCTGCTCCGCCCTGCTCCGCCCTGCTCCGCCGGCGGCAAGGTGGGGGGGGGGGGGGGGTCTACCGTCGCGCGCCTCTCAGTGGGCCAGAAGACCGGTGGAGGCGGTCAGAACCCCGGACGCGTTTTGAGCTCCAGAGTCACTAAATGGGACTCGAATCGAACGTCGTGACCCCACCAATGGATTGCTCTCCGGACGAGGAATCCATTGGTGGGGCCACACGTTCGGTTTGAAGCCTATTTAGCGACTCTGGAGCTCAAAACGCGTCAAGAGTTTGGGCCGCCGGCGCCGGTCTTCTGGACCACTGTAAATGAATTCTTTTACAGTGTGCCGACGCTACTCACTTGGCCATGAGCGTGGAGAAGGTCCGCGGCATGTTGTTGGGGGTCCGCGGCGCGCCCAGGGTGACGTAGGGCGCGGCCCAGCAGTCGGCGCGCGCGGCCAGCGCGGCGGGGAGGTTGCCGGCCACGGCGAGGCGGCGCAGGGCCTCCACCACGACGCGCAGGCCGCCCTTGATGGCGTGCCGGTCCAGGCGGATGGGCTGCCGGCGGAGCGTGAGCATGCCCAGCGGGAAGGGCGGCGGCTCCACCGGCACGCCCGAACCGCTCGCGCCGATCCAGCCTGGAACCGGCCGAGCAACACGATGCTTAACCACACTAATAATTACATTTTTGTGTTTTAAAACTCTTGAATATTTATTAAATATCTTATTCTCAACTGAATTTTAGTTTTTTCTAAATCATAATTTGGTTTCTAAAGTTTAATTTCTGTCTACACTTGTTTTCTAGAATCTTAATTTTTTTCGAGTCGTGAATCTTTTTCCAAGTCCTTGGACAGGACCCGACCTACCTCCGCGGTGGCGCATGACGGGCGGCGGCGGCGCCTGGCTGCCCCTGGGCGTGTGCTGCCACTGGCCCTTCTGCCGCTTGCGCTGCCACTCGCTGCCCTCCTCCGAGGTCCGCCTGCGCTCCGAGGGCTGCTGGGCTGGCGGCTTGGCGGCGGCGGCGGCCGCGGCGGAGGCCACCCCCCGGGGCCGGCGCACCAGCCCCCAGTCGTCGGCGGCGTCCTGGCCGCCCTGTGGCCGCTCGGCCAGGAAGGCGGCGCTGCCGGGCGGCGGCCCCGGCAGCTCGTCGTGCTGCGCGCGCGTGTCCAGCCACAGCCACACGAAGTGGCCGTCCACCATGTTGAGGCGCCGGCCCTCCGCCAGGATGTTGCGCGCGCTGCGCTCGTCGCACATGAGCACCACCACGCCGCGCGTCAGCCGCGACACGTCGGCCAGACGGCTGCAAGCAGAGCGAGCAAAGCGGAGCCGATTACAACCCGGTACAGACCGCCCTGGCAGCCCGCCAGCGACGCCACGCCTCGCGCTTCATGGGGCAGGCTCCCTAGGTTCCGAAGGGCCGCTGCGCACAGTGGTCCGGAAGGCCCGGTGGAGGCAGCCAAAATTCTGGACGCGTTTTGAGCTCCATAGTAGCTTAAATAGGACTCGAACCGAGCGTGTGACCCCACCAATGGATTGCTCTTCGAACGAGGAATCCATTGGTGGGATCACACGTTCGTTTCGAGTCCTGTTTAGCGACTCTGGAGCTCGAAACGCGTCTAGAATTTTGGCCGGCCCGAACGGACTTGAAGGAGAGCGCCTGCGAGGTAGGCCACCGGCGGCCGAGCTGCGCAGCCCTGCTCGGCGGGCTGGCCTACCCTGGCTTTGACGGGCGCTCCCCGCCCTGCGCCAACTAGAGCGTCTTTTTGTACAGTAAGATTTTAACAGTGTCCAAAAACGTTGATGATTCCGGATCCGTTTGCCAAACTGCACGGCGAGAACTGGACTGGTCCGTGACGAGGAGACGCGCCATCCCGGGCTGGAAAATAACTTGTCCGAACTAACTTGAGGCCCAGGGGACGCGCGGAGTGACGCAGGTACGATAAGCGCCCAATGATGACCTGTTTGCCGACCAACTCCTGGGAGGCCAGGACGAGCCAACTCGTCTCGCCCGTCGCCGTCCCGGAGTCCCAGTGGCGCAGCCCAGGGTTCGACCATATATTACGTAACGTCTTCTGTCTCTCTCGCACTCACTGGCAGTCCACGGGGAGCAACAAGGACAGAGCCATAAAAAAAACGTTACGTCATAAGTGGACGACCCCCCAGCGGATTAGCCGCTAACGACGCAGCCTCGCGGTTAAACACTGCATTTTTAACGACTCACCTGAAAATGTGGTGCGGCGCGGCGCTGGCGCGCAGGTGCACGAAAGTGGGGTGCAGCGGCGCGGCGCGCAGGATGGCGGCCAGGTCGGCCTTGAGCAGCACGGACGCGGACGCGGCCTCGTCCGCCATCAGGGTGAAGGAGTGCCAGTGCGTGGCCACCAGCAGCGCGCGCAGCGCGTCCACCATTTGCCGCGCGCCGGGCTCCAGGCGCACCTCGATGGGGCTCAGCTCCTGGAACAGGCCGCCCAGGCCGGGCAGGGGGACGTCAGACTCTTTCATGTTTGGGACCAGAGGTTACGGTTTTGAGCTCCAGAGTCGCTAAATGGGACTCGAACCGCACGCGTGACCACACCATTGGATTGCTCTCCGAACGAGGAATCCATTGGTGGCGGTCACACGTTCGGTTCGAGTCCTGTTAAGCGACTCCAGGGCTCAAAACGCGTCTAGATTTTTGGCCGCCTCGTCCGGTCTTCTGGCCCACTGATACAGGAAATATTAGCTTTTTGAGTCGGTGGCCTGTGTCACGGTGAGAATGCATGCTTTTTTTTATGGGCGGGTGTTCCAACATGATAAACATAGTCATGGTGCTTCTCGGCCCCAGGCACGCCCTCCACGCCCTCCAGCATGCGAGAGTGTCTGAGGTGTCACACGGTAATCCTCTTCTGATGACGTGGAGCCACCAGCCACCCCACCGGCCCCACCGCACCCACCGCCACGGAGGAGTGGGTGCTGACGGTCTCCTCGCATTCGCCTCTTTCCTGGTCTCGTTCCGGTTTCCTGAGGTTTTCGTTCCGGTTTCTTTCAGGCTTCCTTCGGGCTTCCTTCGGGTTGCCTGGAGGGTTGCACTCCGGTCGCCTTCGGACCTTCGGGTCACCCTCCGGTCACCTTCTTACCACCTTTAGGTCGCCTTCAGGTCACCTTCACCTTCGGGTCGCCTTCGGGTCGACTTTGGGTCGCCTTCGGGTCGGGGACATGAAACGGGGCCGATGTGTGGGCCGCGAAGATGCAAAGAAAGCGGAGTGGAAGGGGGAAGGGAAAAGGGGAAGGGGAAGGGGGGGAGGAAGGGGGAGGGGGCAGGGGAGGGAGAAGAGGACGGAACGAAAAGGGGCGGAAGGCGAGCGAGGAATCTTAATGACGACGCACTGGATCATGAGGCGGAAGAGAAATGCATGAACCACTTAGGACACCCTCCCCTCCCCTCCAACCCCTCTGCTCCCCTCCCCTCTCCCCGAGGTCTCGAGAGCTTTCCCGTTCTGGATCGCGGGCAAACGGGGCGTGGCCCCGATCGGGTTCGGCGGCAACAGAATGCATTTGTTTGTCCGGGCATGACGGAGTGTTTGTCCCTGCGGCTGAAGCGACAACCGAGGCGAGCCACCGCCTGGATTCCACCCCCCCGACGGAGACCGCGGCTGGCTGGCTGGCTGGCTGGCTGGCTGGCTGGCTGGCTGGCTGGCTGGCTGGCTGAAAGGCAGTCCACGCTTCTCTCGATTAAAACGGAATGTCACTGAGGTGGTTCCGGCGGAGCGGCCCGGTGGAGCAGCGCGTAAAAGCGAGTCTTCAAAATAACGTCCGCTAAAAGCCGGCCAGGATAACTGGCAGCGCGACAGAGAGAAGACAGACCGAGACTGGAGCGCAGCGCCACGCGCCGCGGTCGGGGAGAGAGACGGAGAGAGAAAGAGAAGGGAGAGGAAGAGAGAGGGCGGAGAGAGAGACAAAGAGAGAGAGAGAGAGAAGAGCGCAGCCCTGGTCGAAGTTTCACGAGCACTCTCATTTAAACGAGCAAACGGCCGGGGGCGTTCGCGGGCAAACATGACTGGTACAACAGGGGAGTACACTGCCGAAAAATGACATTGATTGATTTATTGCCTCGACCACGAGGAAATCGGCGGCGGCGAGCGGCAGACGCCGGAAACGTCGGGAATGTGGTTGCGTCGCAGAGTGAGCTTGCCTTGCTTGCCACAGGCCGCGGGTCAACAAGGTTATGCGTCCGTTTCCAGGCATGGTCCAGGCAGCAGACTCATTGCAAGAGTCTCGCTCTGTCTCTCTCGCACCCTTACGGGGCGCCCCATGAGTGCGAGAGAGAGAGAGCGACGGAGACGTCGTTAGTGAGGCGGACAAGCAAACGGCGTTCACGGGGAAGCGCCGCGCGCCGCGCCAAAACGTTTCATTGGTTTGGCCGCCCCTGCCGGACGCAAAGTTGAAACCGAGCCGAGCGGGAAACGGGGACACCCCCCCCCCCTCTCCCCTCGGCACTTCCGCCGGCAAAGTAATTGGTGTCGCCGACAGGGGAAAAGATTCCCGCCCAGTATCGGACGGCCCGTTTTTGCGCGCATCAAACAAACTTTGGTGACACTACTGGGCGGCCGGAGAGGGCGGGGCGGGGCGGGGCGGGGCGGCGCGCTGGTGGTGTTGCTGCCGCGCTCAAAATATCAGCAGGGGAGCCATGTGGACTCGGAGATCGGGCCGGTCCCGGGGGAGCGGAGGGGAGCGGGGAATCGGCACACAGTTGTTCGTACACTATCATCAATCCTCGGACGTCATCCCTGCCGAGGCGGCGAGGCGCACAGTGGACCAGAAGACCGGTGGAGGCGGCCAAAACTCTAGACGCGTTTTGAGCTCCAGCATTGCTAAACAGGTCTCGAACCGAACATGTGACCCCACCAATGGATTCCTCGTTCGGAGAGCAGTCCCATTGGTGGGGTCACACGTTCGGTTCGAGTCCTATTTACCGACACTGGAGCTCAAAACGCGTCTAGAGTTTTGGCCGCCTCACCGGTCCTCTGGCCCACTGTGAGGCGGCGGCCTACACCGCGGAGGCCGTGGCGGAGGCGGTGCAGACCCGCGGCCGGCCATCATGCATCATGGCCTCGGTGTCGCTGCCAGGCGCAGCCGGACGCTCCCCAACCCAAATCAATGACTAATGTGTATTTTAGTTGAAGAGGCGCTCGCTGTGTAGTCTGCCACAGACTGCCTCCCCCTCCCCCCTCCAGCCCGAGGCAAACGATGATACCTTGTTATCGCGCGTTGGGATTTGCATGGGCGCGGCAGACTGATTCCGAGACTCGTTTTCGTCGCTCTGTCTCTCTCGCACCTATGCGGGACGCCCCATGAGTGCGAGAGGGACAGAGCGACGAGAACGACTTTCGGAATCAGTCTGATGTTGTGTTGGCGGGCGGCCCGGTGGACCGCACGCTAAGCGACGCGCG